TTACAAGTTGTAAATTCGTCATCACTCAGTTGAGTTCTGTACGTTACTGGGAGAGCATTAAACAGACGTATGAGTAATACAAATACAAATATCATTACAGTTATAATATAGTTTTAATAAGTCCAGGACAGAATATAACTCTACATATTGAGGACAGTTTGTATCCGGCAGCCTACTTGCGAGGATATCTTCCGAAAGTAGCGATAAGAAAAGGCTATTGAATCCAAGTGTAACAAGGCTGGCAGTTTTATCGAAGCTTTATGGCGCTATAAAACCCTTGGGAAGACGTGTTGGAAGCGTCGCGTGACGACCCTTGCCTCTTTGAGATCGGCACGCAATATTCCTGAAGATTACGTGATGAGCCCACTGCAGGCGTAATAAGTTTGATGATCTCGAATAATTCAAAATAGAAACTTTTTATCTTCGCCTAATAGTGACTATTTTTTGCATCGCCTTTGACTTTTCTGTGGTTTTGAAGGTAATTACTCCACCGGAAACTGCACCCAGTAACGCCTAGTGGCGGATTATTGAGCGTTTTTACTTTTGTTTTCACAAAAAAAGACACTGACCCAAGTTCCAACTGTGAGATTAACATCTTGCTGCATATTTTGTATAAAATGTCTAAAGACTTTCCATCAAAACCAGTCGCTTTTCCTGCGGTTCCACGTGAATTTGCCGCTTAATATGGGTTTGACTGTATTTCTATGAGGACTCCAGAAGCCCTGAAATAACTTAACGGAAGTTCTTTATAAACAAAACCCCCTTCTAGCCATGACTCTCTCGTTACGTCAGGGTTTATATTCAACCCGGATATTCAACCTGGGTCGCTTGATGTGATTTTTCACAAGATGACACTGGCAGTTTTCTACCTTATCAGACCAATTTTTATTTTTTAATTTTTAGCCTGAGTATCAGGCCCGGGTATCAGGCTTTTCGTAAGTAACGGGGGAATGGGAAGGAAAAAAGAACAAAAAGCTTTCCTCCTCCCCTCAGGAGGGCCTGATTCTCAGATTTGTCGTTGTTACAGCTGTTGTTAGATCGAGCTATGTTTGTTATATAAACGGCGACTTTGCTATAAGGGTTTGCTCGTTACCGCGGGGCACTTATGGAGTTGCTTTCGGTGGCCATTTTCTTTTTCTGATCGAGCGAACGTCCAGGGTGTATGAGAGACTTACTTACTATGAATGTTAAAACGCACTTCCGTACTCCGCATGGTTAGCAGTATCTTTATGATTTAGGCCAGACGACGATCGAATAGTATCCCATGATGCAATTTTCTACGTGCGTGACGCAGCATCGAAGTTAACATGGATTTCAGCGTGAAATAACGTGGTTTTCTCCGCGGTTTATTTCTTATTTTTATCGCAGTAAAAGGTTAGAAAAGTGCATTCTTTAAATCTTTGACGCGATTATAATGATTTGTAAGTGTTTTAGAGCGCGGCCTTATTATAGTGTTCTTGTCGTTGATCGTGTTATGTGACTATTCGCATCACAAAGTGTTCGTTGACCCGTAACAAGGTCATGAATATTCGCTTTTCTTTGCACAGTATGTTGATGTCTTCGATT